TAGCCTCCAGGGGATAAAATCAGCAATTTATGCAACACATGCTTTGGAGGGAAGTTGAGGTGAGTGAGGGCAAAGGAGGGATTTGCCCAGTAAACCCAAGGTAAAGAAGAGTGCAGGACTGATTAGTACAGCCTAACTGAATTATGAAACAGTGCAAGAAGCAAGAGTGATTACTTTTTAAGTTTGAATGAATTGGAGGCTGTGATTAAGAAGTACAGCATGATTTACTTTATCGGTGCAAATCAATGGCAACTACTACCTGCAGTCTCTGCATCTCCTGCTGCGAGCAGCCCTGCCTCCCCCTCTTCCCTGCCCCCTCCCACATGCCCCGTGCTCCTAGATTCTCTGCTTGCCAGTGAGTTTGTTTTTTTTTGCAGTGAGCCTGCCTTTTTTCACATAGCCAATCCAAATTCGTGGTTTCCACAAAAATCACACATTCACGAATAGATTCCTACACAAAGTACGCTATTATTTTTTACTGCGCCTAATCATTTTTTCATTTGTTTGATTAGCTTTTTGATGAAAAAAGGCTTATCTACCCCCCATAGCCAGTGTGCATAGGAGGGGCAGGAGCAGGAGAAGCTGCCACTGGAGGTGAGGGGAGCAGAACACCCTTGCCAGCCCAGGCCCTTGCCAACTCGGCCCCAGCCAATGCACAGCTTCTGGCAGGGCTGTTCCCAGTGAGGCTGGCCAAGTCCTGCTCTGCTCCCCTTGCCTCCAGGAGTTGCCCAGCTGAAGCTTCTCGCCTGCCCGCAACAGCTCAGCAGGGGCAAAAGCAAGAGGAAGAGCTGTCACTGGAGGCGAGGGGAGCAAAGCAGCACTCAGCCTACTGCAAGCTGCATGCACTGGCCAGGGCCTGGGCTGGCAAGGGTATTCCACTCCCCTCACCTCCAGTGGCAGCTTCTCCTCCTGCTCCTGCCCCTCCTATCCACACTGGCTGAGGGCGGTTGTGGGCAGTAGGGGAAGAGGGGGAAGCTTCAGCCAGGCAGCTTCAGCCAGGCAGCTCCTGCCTCAACAAGCAGGGCTCCAGCTCCGGCTCCCAGCCACCTTCCACCTGCTCCATCCACTCAGCACAACGAGCAGGTGAAAGGTGGATGGGAGGTGAAGCCAGAGTTGGAGCCCTGCAGACTGGAGCAGGAGCCATGCGGCTGAAGCCCCCTCCCTGCCCCACGCCCCCCACCCCGAGCAGTGCAGCAGGGGCAGGAGCAGGAGCTGCCACTGGAGGTGAGGGGAGCAGAACTGCCCTGCTGGCCTGTGGCAGGGCTGTTCCCGGTGTAGCTGCAGCCAGCCAGGAGCTGCTCTGCTCCCCTTGCCTCCAGTGGCAGCTTCTCCTCCAGCTCTCGCCCCTGCTGTGCCACTCTGGGTGGGCAGGAGGGGAAGGTATGCAGAGAACTTCAGCCAGGAGGCTCCCACTGAGCAGCACTGGGAACAGACCCATTGGAAGCAGTGTGCACTGGTTGGGACCTGGGCCTGTGGGTGCAGGCAAGAGTATGGTGTGGACTGCCCTGGAGGAAGCAGATGAAGCTCAGCCCCATGTGGGGTGCTGCAGGGGCAACTGTGGGCCAGATCTGGTCAGTTGGTGGGCTGGTTTCAGCCCACGGGCTGTATTTTGCCCACCTCTGTTTTACAAGTAGCAACTTAATGGAAAAAGTATGGAAATGTAAAAAACCCAAACTCTGAAGCCATTTTCTTTTGCCTGTGTTTTACAACTCTCTCTCAAATGGACTAATAAAGATCCATAATCAAACATCCCTTGCAGAAAAGGCCCAGTCAGGAATCTTTCAATTCTAAAACTAAGTGTTATCCGCTTGGTTAAATATTAAAAATCAGGAGGATCCTAAGGGACCTGTTTTTAATCAAAATGTGACTGGCAATACCTTTATTAGCCACACATCTTATAGCAAACACTAGGAAGTGTAGGTAGGCAAGAATCCTGCTTTACACTCCTGTTTTCCTAGAATGTTTAAAAGGCAAGCCCATTTAAATCAGACTAAGCAGCTCAGTCTTTTTTTTTCCACAAAAAGAGATCAACAAACCCAACTATGAATCTTCCCCATTTCTCCAAAATATGGCAGAACTGCTATCCTTATCCATATCTGGATTTGCTCTACTGATCCAGAGTTTGAGAAATTTCTATTAGAAAAAAGCCTAAAGGGTGAATGCATTTTTACTGTCTAGATAAACTGCAAGACAAAAGCCTTTTAGGAAAAGACCAATGGTGCTTGTTGTTACCAGAATTGAAGAAAGAAAAAAGTCTGCCAAGCAGTAGTATTATATCTTTTATCTGCTTTTCAAGGATCCTAAAACCAAAAGGATTCTAGGAATATATACTCTAACTCAGAGGTTAACAATCTATAACCTGTGGGCTGGATCTAGCCCTGGAGCCATTGGATCTGGCCTTTGGTAGTGTGGGAACTCAGTGGCAGGGACTTTGCTTGCTTCATGTTGCACTATACTGTGAGCAGGTGGCTGGGCAGTGGGGAACTTTCCTGTGCCATGTCACAGCTGGGTGGAAGGGAGACAGGCAGCGGTGGTGGCTGCACCAGCAGTTGGGTCCTAGCACCGGCTCACCTTAGACCTGAGATGGGCCATTGCTGCCTGCTGCTGGAAAAAGTTGCTTTCTACTGCTCTGCATCAGACATCCTGGTAAATCCTCATGCAACCACTTATAACAATCAACAACAAATAATATACCTGGTTCTTCTGAGTTCTCATTGCATCTATTTCATACTCAGCATACTGGGGATCCAGGGCAGGATCCTTGGAATCTTTTAAGTCACTGTTCCTCTAAAAACAAATTTAAAAAAGTGTAAGAATCGCAAATCACAAAGTTTATCTTTCAGTGCTCCAGCAAAATATTCAGTAATCAATTTAAGGTCTGTGTTTACAGAAATATTACTATTCTTGCAAAAGCATTAAAAATGAGCATTTGTCATCAATCACAAGAAAAATGAAATAGATCATGTTAATTTAAGAAGCAAAGTTGGTAAGATCTTCATTCTTAGCAAAGTTTCATTCTTAGGAGAGCTGATTACTAATCTAACTCCATGCCTCATTTCTCTGAAAGTGAAAGTTAAAAACTGCAAATCCTGCCTGCTTGTTGTGCATCTCCCAAAGTGCAAAAAGTGACATGACAACCTCTTCAATAACACTTTCAGTGTTCTTTGTTATATTCATCCAAACTGCCCCCATTCTGCTGCCTTGCTTAGCCCTGGCACTATAGTACCTTATGGTTTTCCCTGTAGTCTGAAAATCTTGAGCACTGTCATGGTATTACTGAATTTGTTTTATCTATTAAGTTCTTTTTATGTCTCATGATTTACATAGAGAACTAACAGAAAAAAGGTTTGGACAAAGTATCCTAAAAGTTTAAATAACTATACCTTCATTAACCATTTTGACTCTACTCCAAACTCCCTGTATTTCATTCTTTAATTCTTCTCAAACAAAATAAATCTTAGCAGCCTCTCCATTCCTCTTTTAATGACTGAGGATATAAACAGCCATTATCTTTGGAGCAGGATCAGTTGTGTCGGGATGTGTCCCAGACCAGACGATTGCTTCACTGGCAGATATTGCCTGGAACTGTTGTTCTGCTGGGTCAGGCCCCTGCTGTGCTTGGCTATGGCCTAGGCAGTGCCCCAGATCGGGGTGCAGCAGTGAGATGCCACAGGAATCCCCTGGTTGAGGTGCAGCAGGAATCCCTGTAGAGCATTCTCACCGTGCGTGTCTGCAAGCAGGTGAACTCCCAAGCAGGTTCCCCTGCTGGCAGATGCATGCCAAGGTGTGGCAATCTAATTTCTGCAGTATGCAATAAGCAAACAACATCCCCTGACTTAAGGATGCCAAACTGTGATTACCTTTGCCTGCAGCAACATTTTTGGGCATTTGGAGTGCAACGGGTACTAGAATGTCTGTTTGCTCGTAACCCATGCTACCATAAAAAAATTATGGAGGCATAAGAATAACATGTTTGCACCTTCACCTACGTATGGACCTATATGCATAGTTCCAGCTTGCATATAGGTCCAGTAAGGGAGGATAACTGAGATCTGGACTGAGTAGATTACAGTACAAAAACTGTGGAAACTACATAAGCTTTAAATACTTGTCTGAAGTTTGGACAAGCATTTGTATTTTACTGTCTCTTTTGTTTACCCTTTTTGACCACTACTAGTTATGACAACTTCCTGTCTTCACCAATTGTCCCCTAACCTATTCACTTCCCACAAAGACCCATTCAAATATGCATCCCTAAACAACCAGCGTGCTTTGAGTAGCTTTCAATCAGTAAGTGTCTTCAGCAAATGCTGGTAGGAAACTGTCCTGTCACATGCACTTATGAAAAGATCACATTTATGGTATAAACCAAATAAACTAAAATTGTGTACGTTCTTTAGCTATTTAAAAGAGTACCTTTTGAGCAAACGAGAAAACATCCTACTAGCAAAAACAAACAATAAAATGGATAGAAAAATAATAAATATAAGTTTTTTTAAGAATGAAAATTTTATCTGTAATATTTTTGCTAGCAGCTTCTTTCCTGAACCATAACAAATAGGTATAACCTCCCCCTCTCAATTCAGTCTCATGTCCTCTGTTGTTAGATGCTTTACTACTAAACGTTTATAAAATGTGCAAGCACTCTAGCAACAAATTATTAACTTTCAGAGAACAGTCTGAAATTACATTAACTAATTGGAAGACAACTCTACATTTAAGTGTCCTTTTTGATAAAAATTCTGATTGTTACATACTGCATTCTAGTCATTTACCAGTACACAACATGGTGGACTGAATGAGGAGATAAACTGCTAGGACAGAGAAAATTACTGGGCAAGATTTTTCTTATTCTGCTGTACAGCATCTCTCCTCGTTCAGAACAAAAATAAAGTAGGAAGCAGTGAGTTACAGAAATGGAGAAGGAGAAAAGATAAAACAGAATTATAATTATTAACATCATAAGCAGAAATAGAAATCTTTCCACATAAGGTGAGCTTTATAATTTAAGAAGCTATTTGGGAACCAACCCAATAAAATCTTAGTACAAAAAGATACATCCACAGAGAAATGGAAAACATTTTGCATATTTTCTTCTATTCAGAGGAAAATTCAGATACTTTCTGATTTCCAGCTGAATTAGAGACCAGAAAGTGAACCCCGTTTTCCTCCAGGAACAGTTTCCAAAATCCCAGCATGTTACTTTTATGAGATTTTAGCATCTTCAGCAAGTTTGAGGCCTTAGGAGCCTAACATTTTGAATGGAATGACATGGAAAAACATATGGATGAATGAAATGGACTGACATATGGATCCATATCTGAACCTGAAACTTTTCTCCACTCTCAAACATTGTTGAAGCTAATGAAGAAATCCTATTGAATTAAATTTTCTTTCAGTGCCCTGAATAAGTGTAAATGGTCCTGCAGAAAGGGCTGGAGTCAAGCCCCTGCTATGGACCTGCGAAACCAGCAAAATGAACACGGGACAGGTCCAGGAGAAAAAGGTAGGCTCCAGGGGCATGAGACAACATGTCCCAGGAAGCCTGTGCTGATTGGCCTCAAAGGTGGACCAGGCAGTTTAAAGAAGATGCCAAACAGAGGATTGTCATTTGGCATTCCCCGGAGCAGGAAAAACACAGCAGAGCTGAGAGCTGTATGGACTGGGGAAGAAGAGGGCCCAGGCAGCCAAACCCTGGGACCCAGATGAGCCACAAGCAAGGATCAGACTTGTCCTCCAGGAGAGATAAGTAAAAGCAGACGGCAGGGCAGTGTGGGTCACTCTGGCAACCCTAGAGATGGGTCAAGATGGGAGATATTTCCAAGACAGCCAGTGGAGACTGGTAGAGTGGGGGAGAGGATGGACCCGATGAGAGTAGCATGCTTTGGAGGGAAGTCGAGGTGAGTGAGGGCAAAGGAGGGATTTGCCCAGTAAACCCAAGGAAAAGAAAAGAAGAGTGCAGGACTGATTAGTACAGCCTAACTGAATTATGAAACAGTGCAAGAAGCAAGAGCGATTACTTTTTAAGTTTGAATGAATTGGAGGCTGTGATTAAGAAATATACCATGATTTACTTTATTGGTGCAAATCAATGGCAACTGAAAAGAAGTGCAGAGGGGTTGATTTATGATTACGCATGGTTTTAAAGCCTGTACCTTAGAGTGTCCAAGGAAATTAGGCTTGTAAAGCCTCAAGTAAGGCCAAGGAAAGGCTGAAAGAATAAATAAGTTGATCTGAGGACTAGTTATAGGAATTTTGAGTTCCATGAGGGAAGACACGCAAGAAGCGAAGGAAAGTGAAAAGAAGGTCTTGCTCACAGAAAACCTGACAACTTAATACCAGAGAGGGATTTGATCAGAGGAGAAACAAGGACCAGTGAGCAAGACCAAACAACTTGACAGAACCCCAAGAGGGGGCTTTGCTAGGCATCCCCACTCCATAAAATAAAGATACTTAATATACAATTACACTATATATTCCATGCAAAACGTTAGGCATCCTGAACAGGGATTTTCCACCACAATCCTGAGAGGAAAGGGGCAGGGTGTAGAGGAGGTGGAGCCCTGCAGAAGACTTGTGACCCTGCCAGACAGCCCTTCGCCCAAAGAGCCATCCAACCTCCCTAATGGAATTAAACTATCAAGATGTGGTAGGCAAGCAGGAGGGTGGAACAAAGGTTAGTGGTTTTCCAGCACAGCACTATGTTGAAGGCACATGTGCGCTCACAGGTCCATGAAGGATTCTCATCTGCTTGGAAATCCTTTTTCCTGGTTGACACTTCGCATGGCACAGTTGTTACTCTGGATCAGAAATAAGGCCCTGGCATGTTGATTTGACTAAAAGATGCAAGCCATGATAGAATGATCATTCTCCCATGCCTCATTCCCTATTAAAGTCTCAATTGGTGGCACAGCAAAGGCTTCACTGTGAAGCTCCTGAAAAAACTACCTACAGCTGGGGTATCCACCCTTTTTGAATGTGCGGCCGGATCATGAACTTTTTATCACCCAGTGGGCTGGCAGGAGCAGGCACTTGCGTGGCCTGTCCAGTCTGGCCGCAGCCTGGGGGCGCAGGGGCCAAGGGGTGCCGCCTGACCCCGCCGTGTCCTCTCTGCCACCTGGACAGCCTTGAGGATGCTCCCACACCTGTGCACCTGGGCTCAGCAGCCAGGGGGACATATGGGGACTCTACAGGGGGGTGCAGGATGTGCAAGGATACCCCCCTGCTCCCTCTCCCCTGGGGCAGCACGAGCCCAAGCGGCAGGGGTCCCTCCCTCCCTGAGGCTCGTGACTCACCACCCCCAGTGCAATGGCTGCAGGCGCAGGAGGATGCGGGGAGGCACGAGCGGCGCTGGTTTCCTGCCCCAACAGCCACAGCAGCAGCATCCTTCTGAACCGGCATCTGCGCTCACTGCGCTGTGACCTGCTCCAGCCCACGTGGCTGGCAGGGACTGGTGCAGGGCAGGGCCGGCATGCTAATGAGGGAGGGGCAGGGCTAGGAACGGAAACCCTGCAATGTGGGAGAGAGGAGGAGCTGGCATGCAAATGAGGGAGGGGCAGGGCTAGGAATGGAAACCCTGCAATGTGGGAGAGGGGAGGAGCTGGTATGCAAATGAGGGGGGAGGGGTGGAGCTGCATCGCATCAGCAACGCCAAGCTGACGCGGTGTGTGTGGGAACTGTGTCTCTTTCCCAGCTCTTCAGCAGCCACAAGGGGTGGGAACGAAAGTGAACAGCATTTACTTTCATTTCCCATCACAGCACTGCAGGCCAGAGAAAATGGCGTGGCAGGCTACAGGGCGGCCCACGGGCTGTATGTTGGACAAGCCTGACCTACAGCAACTCTTGAATTTGACTTAAGGCTTGCAGGGCTTCTTGGGTGCCTGTAGACATGCAGAGACACTGCTCCAATACAACGTAATTACAGCATGTCAGAACAGGCTTGATTAATCGAGTGAGGCTTGGGAGGATGGTCCTCATTCTCTCAGAGCCACTCTAACTAAAGTACCCCATCCTCTCCCTGCCCCCTGCCCCCAGAGCATGTGTAAAGATGCCCCTTGATTGCTCTGGTAGGGTGCAGAGGGAGCTGCTTCAGCAGTGCTGTCTGGAGAAACCAGAGGATTAATATGTCAGTACTCTGTTTATACCTCAGCTGAGGAGAACAAAGACTTAAATGTTAAATTAGAACATTACTTTATAAAAGCAAATAAAATTTAAAGTTGCAAAGTAAAGTAGTTTGGAGAAACTGATTTGCCAGCATTTGGCCTGAACTGAAAGGCAATGGTTTAGTCAACCATACTGAACTGTCTTTAAAATCTGCAGATTATCCATTTGTTCTGAATAAGGAGAGCAATTGTTAGGCCTGTGCAAACCCTCTAGTATTCGCTTCAGACTCAGATTCGACTGATTCGGGGAACGGCGATTAGATTTGGTGATCTGAATTACTGTCCCAAATCAATTTGGCTGAGTCTGATTTGGAGATTCGGCTGCCACCGAATCAGTTGAATCTCCAAATCAAACATGCCTCATCCCCCGCCTGCTCTCCCCATCCCATCAATGGCTGCCCTGCCCAGCCCCAGCCTCCAGGCTCTTTAAAAAAAAAAAGTCCAGCACTCGCTGGCTGCTGCCACGTAGGGGAGAGCAATCCCTGCTGCCCCCCACTACCCCCACCTGCTCTCCCAACCCCAGCGTCCCAGCTCTGTAAAAAAACAAACAAACAAACAAAAAAACCCCTACTCACTGGTTGCTGCCAGGTGGGGGGCAATTCCCACTGCCCCCCACCGGCTCTCCCAACCACCTTCATGGCTGTCCCGCCTGGCCCCAGCATCAGATCTTGCAGGGGGGAAAAAAGCCCCACACTCACCAGCTCCTACTAGGTGGCTAGGTGGGGGGGGGAGATCCCTGCTTCCCCCTACTGCCCCATGCTGCATAGGTGGGGGGGCTCTGCCACAAGCCCCCAGAAGCCCTGAGGCTGCTGTAGAAGCCACTGAGTGCCAGGCTTTTTTCTTTTTTTTAAAGAGCAGGGAGCTGGGGCCAGGCGGGACAGCCATTGACAGGGCTGGGAGAGCGGGCAGGGAATGGGGACTTGTGGCAGAGGCCCCCATGCAGATTGGGGCAGTGGGGGGCAACAGGGATCACCCCCCCCCCACCTGGCAGCAGTCAGTGAGTGCAGGGTTGTTTTTTTTAAAGAACCAGAGCTGGGACCAGGCAGGGCAGCCATGGGGGCGGGGGGGTTAGGAGAGCAGACAGGGGTCAAGGGGCACTCAGGGAGGCTGGAGGAGCAGGCAGGAGATGGGGCCTGGCAGGAATCCCCCCACAGTTCCCCACTCCAGCTCCCCCCCACCACTTACCAGCATGGAGTGCAGGTCCAGCTCTCTGCAGCAGTGAGCAGGAACTGCCCGAATCTCCAAAGCTCTCCAAATCTTTTCCGAATCAATTTGCACCTTTTTACTGGTCTCCTGATTCGATTTGGATTCAGAGATTTGGCCGCCAGATTGGGCCAAATCTCCCTCGAACCAAATCAGCACCCAATGCTTCATATAGCCCTAGTAATTGTGCTACAGAAATAAAATACATACCATAGGTGGAAATGCTTTCTCATATACTTTCTTCCACAAATCCAACGGAGTATGAGCATGTAGTTTTCCAATATCACTGTCTGAGGCAGGTGGTGGTCCTAAAGATTACAGCATGATACAGAATGTTATCAGCATGCTGTCCTAACAAAATGAATTGCTATACTATGTTCTGCTTCAGTCCATCTAATTTAGTGTGGTGAATGAGCCTGAAGAAAATGTAGATCCTCTATTATAAGGCTATCGCATGTGATTATACAGTGTGTTTTCTTCTTTTGGACTTGAGCTACTTATCAATTTATAATCTAGAATTATTACAACAAATACTGTATTTATTCGAATCCAAGATGAGGCTTTTCCTCACATTAACATGGGGAGGAAAAAGCCTTGCTTTGAATCTGAATATCAGTCTGAGGCATAGCTAGGTCCAGCCGCAATTGGCCCAGGGTCAGAGCCACTGCCTGCCCTAGGCTGGTGCTAGAGTGAGTGCTGTTGCCACCACCACCCCCTGGCCAGAGCCAGAACCAGAGCCAATGCAGAGGCCAAGCAACATTGGTAGCGGGGTAGGAGGCAGGCAGCAGGAGGGCAGGTGGCTTGAAGGGGAGAAGGTGGCAGCATGGGGCAAGTGGCAGGGGGAGCAAGGGTCAGACCATCTGCCCCCCATCGCTGCTTTCCCCACTGCAGCAGTGGGAAGGGAAGGGGATGAATTTAAGATGACCCTCCAATAATTATATTATATACAAGGAAAATCATAAACATATTTATAATTTTCCATGTACATAATTTAGTTATTTGAGGGGGTCAACTTAAAGTCAAAGTCATACTGGATTCAGGTTAACATGGTAACCCTTATATTTTTCATCTTAACTAGTGTAACAGCAGAATCTATGTTTAGTAATTTAAATGTTCACTTTTTCTTTTAAATTATTTGCCTCTTTGTTGTACTTCTTGAATTAAATCATTTATGGTTAATTAGCATTTTTAAATCTGGTTTGAACTTATTTCCTCTAATTTCAAAAAGCTATGAATAACAAAACTGTTGGACAAGAAGTTCACTAACCTATTTGACTTAGAGAATCTAATCCTGCTGGGATAAACAGTGGTTTATTTTGATCCACTGATATGGATTTGCTAAGCAGATAAAAGAAAAGAAACCAAATTAATATTAGTAATCAATTGCCCATCAAATAATTACCCTATCAGACAAAGGTGAGCTTCACATTTGGTTCCAAGTACATATACACCTAAAAATATTGTTCCTATCCATTACTATCCCCCTTAAGAACCAAAAATCTTTAAAAATGTGAGGGGCAATGATTTTTGTGGGGGATACCTTTTATTGCTTTTATTGGACCAACTGCATGGGTGGGAAAGATTAACAATGTAGGGAGTTTTATTTGCTCTGGGCCAGGCAGCCAAGACCCAGGAGAAAGAATCCAAAGTAAAACTCTTGCACAGATGGTATCTTTAGAGAAAATATATTTTGATGATATTTGGGGTCAAAATATAGGGCGTTTATACATGTGCTCTGGGATCAGTGGGGGGAACTTTAATTAGAGTGGCTCCAAGAGCCGCTATAATTAAAGCGTACCGAGTGCCTTGAGTATCAGTGTCCCCGTGTTTAAAAATGGCAAACAAGCTTTACATAAAGTATCCCTGCTGCCATTTTTAAGTGCAGGGATGCTGATACACGAGACACTGGAGGCTGCTGAAGTGTGGTATTTAACATACTTGATTAACTGTCTGCTCCAATGCAGTGTAATTACAGGCAGTCCATAACAGTCGCTGTAATTACAGCACGTTGGAGCAGCCTTGCTGCTCATGTATAGGTGCCCAATATTTTGAAAAAGCCTTTAGAAATACTCAAACTCCGTACTCAAAACTCTCAATAAATAAAATAAGATAAAGGACTGTAATTATGTTACCTTCTTTCAAAGCCAAAGGCCAAATGATTAATAAGAATACGTGCTTTCAGCAGAAGGGTATCAGGTTTGCCTGTAAACTATAAGAAATCAAGGAATAAAGTACATGTTATTCTGTTCTGTAACAGAACTTTGAACAAATTACACTTTGTGTTATGAATAGATTACAGACAGAGGTCCTAGATAGTTTCTTAATTAAATTATGCTAGGATAAAATAAACTGGGAGTGATTCTATCAAAGCTAGTTAGTATTTGAAATCAAAATCAGGCTCATTGGTTAACAGAAATGTGTATCAGTCAGTTATATATGTCAAGAGAGTTGAAATGAAAACCTGCATTCAAGAAAGAAAAGAAGATGGAATTTTCTAAATTTATAAGGACTTACAACTTATGATTTATACATTTTAAACTAAGAGAACTTTTGTAAGAAATTAACGAATTAAGTCTTTAAACTACATTGTCTAAAATACCATGAACACTAAGAATTGAACCAAAAAAACTACAAAAATGTTCACTTAGGATTTAATTTAAATCACATGATAAAAGAAGCTTTACATTCAGTGGCTAAATAAGAGTTAATAATATAAATTAATCAGAAGGCAGCCACAAAAAAATTCCCTGGAGCATTCTTCTTTCTCTTTCAGCTTGTGAATTTTGTTTTTAAATAGCAAATTTCCCAAGCCAAGTCCTGTTTTTATGGAATGAAATTAAAATTCTGTTGTTTTTTTCAGTGGGATTAGTACCTGGTCTCCACAGAGCAGTTCTGCTATCCTATATTGTTAATAAATATAGGTTTAACACACATATTAGCTTTCTTTTTACCTAAAAAATAATCCACCTGCCAGAAAAAAGAAAAAGCCTCTGAGCTCTTGTACAAAGCAGAAAATGTCTATTTTTTCTAAGGAGTCCCCTTATGTTTCACCATGGAAGACCTAAAGTGCAGGCTTTGGCAAAAAAAGAAACTTGCTCCAGTTTAGCTTAATGTGTAATGATAAGCCATTCAAAAGGATGACCTTCTAATACCTGTTTAAGATTTAGTTTAGCTTCACTAAACTGATTAGAAAAAAATCAAGCCATTCTAAAAATACCTAAGAATATCCACTCAGTGTTTCATATCTGTTTAATATTACATCTGAAGTTAAACTACTGCAATTTAGACTATGGACAAAGGTACCTTTTAACAGCTTTAAATGCAGGGGAAGAGGATGGGAAGAGGAGCTGCCACACAGGCAAGTGTTAGCTAAATCCTTGTAACTTTAGCCCTATAGGAAACATGGTTAGAAAACTGAGGAATTATACAGTTGGCTCACCAATGGATATAACTCACCCATCACTTATAAGCCCAAATAATACTGCATAAGAGGTTCACTATTTGAGGGAGCCACTATAATAAGCCTTGATCATTTGGCTCAAGCACATCATGTTTATATTGCTGTTTTATATTTCTATTTTAAAATGTTGTTCCATCCCCTAAATAACTGCTCATCTCTCTCCTCCTATAACAAAACAGAATGTACAAACCACTAATGATGCTCCATAATAATGTGAAACAAATCGAAGAGTCTTGCATATTATTTTCCTCATTTCAGAATCAAATTCCTGAAGTTCACATTTGGAAATATGCCAAAAAGAAACAAAAAAACAAGAATATTTTACACAGAGATTTTTTTGCATGAACTACATTGTGCATTTCTTACAGTACAGAATGTAGCTAACATAATAATTAGATCTCAATTCAGTAACAACTTACTGGAACTTGAAAATAGGAATCTGTTTCTGTTTTTTTTCCACTTACAGAGAGGGCACCTATCTCAGACAATATGTTACTGTAGCCTTAAGTCTAATCACTGCCTGAATTAACCTCTAAACTGGCTATGCATTTTCATATTCAAAGGATCCTTGAGTGTCCTTAGACATATGGTTTCCTGTCTTCTAAACTCTACGCACAAACCACATATAAGCATTTTAATTAATGTCGGTTCAGTATGTGTTGTATAAAGATGACAGACCTCCTTTAAAAAAACTGTGGAGTTTTTGTCTAAGTGAAGCCAGGATTTTATCCTGTGCCTGTTTAGTGGTGAATAGTTTACAGAGCTGAGATAATTATGGCTCTGTTAAACAAAGCAAATCCATAACCAAAAAGAAACTAAAGGGCTGCCAACTATATATAAATGTACAGACAGTCCATAACAAAAAGAAAACTAAAAATGGTTGTCCATGAAGTGAATCGTGCTGCCCATAAACCAGCCTGATTGAAAATCCATTATCAGAATGAGGCTGGATGTAAATGTTGATGTATAGACAGAGCACAGTACAGCCATCTTGTGTCTATGCGGGTATGCAATTCAGTACCCTGCAGAGAACTCTCCATTAGGGCTTTGTGGCCCATGGGAGCCTTTATAGCTCCCTTTCCCTCCTTGCCTCCCTCCCCCCTCCAGTGGTATGCTGCTGCACCTTTGTCACCTGCTTGTAATGGTTGCTCACCTTGAAAGCAAGCAGGGCTGTGTGGCCCTGGGCAGTCTGAGAACCTGGGCGGGACAGGAAGTGGGGCAGTGCAGCCAGGACACAGCAGTGAAGGTGGAGAAAGGCAGTGGGTAGGAGTCCATGCTCAGATGGGGACAGCAGGGCCACCAGGACTAAGGCTGGGCGGGGGCTAAGATGGTGGCAGCACAGTGCAGGCTGTAGTCAAGGGTATCAGGGTGTTCTGTGAGTGGAGAAACC